TTATTAGATTAAATAATATACTAGTACATTACTAGATTATATTATAGGCAATGTTTTAATAATTTAATTTTAAATAAATGAAGGAGGTACATGGAACACACTGTGAAAATCTAAACAAAATATCTCATTACTGGGCTATCCATTGACTGGTTATACCATCGTTGGAATGGAATGTAATCCATTGAAAATGAAAGGCACTTTTAATCATGCCTCACAGTCAACGATCTTCATCATTACCATACGGACAACGGCGTCTACAAGTCTAGATAACGATGACAGTTGCCATCCCATGGTAAATCGTGAAAAAAGAAATCCACTCCGCCCCCATTAAATACGACTGTCGGCCTACATTTTATGTAATTAACATCTGATCTAATATATTACGTACCTAGGCCTATGTGGTTGGCTACAGATAGCTAAGTGTAGAGTACGAGAAGCTAAAAAATTCATAAATGTAAAGGAAAATCATCCTAGAGCAATGCTGAAAAGCTACCGTCTCAATAGAACAAAAATCCCATGTGGAACCTTGCTATCATGTATCTAACGGCAACGTCCTCATTATCAACCACACCACAGTGCGGCAACACGAAATGTGCTGTACATACACTCATCGCTACTGACTGATTTGAATGTGTGGTTTAATACACATAAAAGCAACTTGTAGCCTACATTTATTTCCTGTAGTATCTGATCTAGACTAGGGCCTATGCCTACACACACACGTACGTACCCAGCAAGCCTATTCGTCTTCGTCAGGCCAGCCTGCATTACAGTCTATAGGCTGGCTGGGTAGTACGTGTCTTCCTCTAGCTCTAGGCCAGCCTGCATTACAGTAGTGTACATTGTTTATCTCTCAGGGGAGAGACCACCCACCTTTGCAAGCACCACAAAACGGCTCATTCTTCGCTGCCAACTAGACTCGTGCAGATGCATTTATTAGCCGCAAAGCTTACCATTCCAGGCCGTGATTGGTTGATAAACACAATGTGGAATCAGGCGATTTGCAATCTGATTAATGACGAACACGCTTTCATAGGAAACCCACGGTAGTGTTAAGAAATATGATAAAAAAAACATACTTTTCACATATTTCCCGACAATATTTTCGCAAAAACTCTTCATACTTTAAATTCCCCACGCCTTATCTTCCATATTATTGCAAGATCGGCCTAATCACGTCACAAACGAAGGAAGAGATTGAAAAACAAATGACTTCAAAATTCGCTCAGAATCATCATATTAGCCCTCTCTCTCAGAGAGTGGGATAAAAATTGATTATTGAGAATTATTTATTATTTATATGGTAACAATAATATATGAGCAAGAATTTAATAATAGGGTAATAATATCGATAATAAAGGTGACAACAATATTAATAATAATAATATGAGAAAAATACCAATAAAACACCAATAACTATATTTTTAAAATTACTATTATTAAAATAATAATACTAAGACTAATACTGTATGTAATAATAATAATATGAATAAAAAAATTGATCATCGAGAATTATTTATTATTTATATGGTAACAATAATATATCAGCAAAAATTTAAACAATACATAATGTTAATGCTAAGACTAAGTAAATGACTTGTGGCCAAGTTGGATCGAATTCCCAGTCAGAACCTAGCCAGGCCGCTTTAGGCCAACTTCGGCCGCCAACACCTTCGGCCGCGCCCTGTCGAACACCAAAATGTATGGAGCGCCCTTTGAGTTCTTTGCCGATTGGAAGTTGAATGCGCGCTATTGTCTGTCACGCGGATATACATTGGTTGATCGAGCGCTATTATATCTATTCAATTCTAAACCTCAAATTCAGAAACACTCAAGCTTTACATTGTTACAGATAGGCCTATACACACAGAACATGTCGCAACAATTAATATTAATAGTGTGTTAAAATTTCAGTGATAATTTATATAATTTGTGAAAAAATCGTAACGAATTAAACATGGCAAACTTTGCGCTGCCACTTACACCATGGTTAACACAAGCAACATATTTGCAAGATTTTTAAACATTTTGACGATAATAATTGTTAAAGGTAAACATCATTGCTTGTTATCAATTATAGATCTCATTTTTTACATGTGCACTTGTTTACTATTCAGTAATGTAAATATAAAGACCTGAATTTTAAATCACCAATAAATTAAATATTTGATTGAGTAAATTAATTGATTGGCTTTATGATATAAAGTGTATGTACATTAAGGGCATGAGAATAGAGAGATACAGTATTCCTAATTGACAAATTTACTCTAGATTTCTTTTTCCAATTCTTGTAAATAACACACTTTCATCACCCTCGCTAATGTGTTATTTTACATCCGATCTTGTATGAAAAGATAACATGAACAGACAACAGACGTGAAAATAAAATTATTTAAAAAAATGTTTTATTTTGAGGATAAAGGACGAAATTTGTGCATGTTTATCATTCTAAATTTTATTTGACGAAATTCTGTTTTGTGGATTAAGGAAACTGACGAAATATGAATAAAAATACAGTAAAAAATGCGTTTTGTAGTCTATTAATAAATAAAATACTGGAGCTTATACTTACAGTATATACGGGAAATATGAATTACTGTACAATGAATAGGCCTAGGCCTACAGTTTCAAATTGTATAATGAATAACAATACTGTTCTGTAAAACAAATACTGTAAAATACTTAAGCTTTACAATTCTTCAATGTAAGACCCTTAATTAAAAAGAAATCCACATACCTGAAATAAATAAGTAAATAATACTGTACATGAAAGCAATTATTATATACATACAACCTAAAATAAATACGTAAATATTACTGTGCAACATGACAACAGCAATTATTTAGTTTAGCAAAGGCTTAAAGTTTGGCATACGCCGCCACAGCATGCGGTGTGAAGAAATGCCCAACTGGCGCTCCATATAAATCTCGCGCGGCCGAAGGTGTCGGCGGCCGAAGAAGTCATATCCCGCCAGGCCTAGACCTAGCATCCTAGAGGGGAAGCAAGGGAGGGACCAGGGTCCCTGGCCTAGAAGGAGGAGTAGCCTAGTCTAGGCCTAGAGAGGGCCCAATACGTTGGAAAATTCGATTACAATAAATTCTAATATTTTATCTAAAACGAATAATATTGAAACTTACTATAGGCTAGGCTAAGAGAGAGAAATATATCGTTTGTTGTTACTCTGTTATTGCACACCACAAATCAAGCATGGTTTTAGCTCGGCGGGGTGGTACGGTACACGCTCAATACGACACCTATGAAACGCCGGTGGTGCCTTCTGTTAGCATTTAATAAGCAATTAGTAGAGCAGCGCATAATGTACACTAGCGTTATTAAAAGGTTAGATTTAATATTTGAAAACATTTTTGAATGCAATAAGTCTAACCTAAGTATAATAATGTTCCCTAGTGTACGATGTATGCCGCTATACTACAGTAATTGCTTTATAAGTCAATCGCCGTCTTTTAATATTTGAGACTGTTATGTAGCATACAGTTATCGGTTGCTATAGTGACATGATCAGTATACTGTGTGCGTATTACAAAGCAGATTGATAAGATTCATGAATATTATTTTGATTGAGTTAGTCAGAAACCTGTATCTCAATTGCAAATTCGTCTACATTAGGCCTACATAGTATTGTCGACACATATTCTTGCAAAACTTTTGTATTGATCATTTTTATTCAAGGTTAGTTAAAAACCGTAATCACAGCAAAAGCTGAATGAACACAATATTAACATTAAAATCATCGCAAACACAAGGCGTAAAGCAATTACATATAGAATGCTAATAAAAATCTATAAATTACAAGCAGGAAAGATTGAAAAGGCCAATATAAAAAGCAGAAAAACGACAAGCCTGAACAAATTTCATCACATACTTTCTTTAATTAATTTAATGTATTGAATGTAATTTATATATAAATGGTAATCCTGGCACTTGCACACTTACTAGAGCATGTTTACGCATTGCAGATCTTGTCCACATAATTTTAGTGGTAAAAACAGTGGGATTTTCGCAAAGGTAACATCCATGGATATACATGCATTTGGATGGATTAGGGGTCATGTGATTAACATCAACCCATATGAAAGTCTTCTAAATCAATTTGGGTACTGCTACGTTGGTTGATGGAAGGTATTTCCAACTATCGCAAAATCATCAACACATTTCAATGTCATTTAATACTTGTAAATTCTAGCTTCATCATTAACTAGACACATAAAAATTACTAGGCCACTGACGGTTTCTTGAGAAACACAGGAGAGTTCTTCCCATTTTGACAAAGTATTTGAATACCTAACACACTGTAGATGGTTGGATAAAAAAAAAACTACATCTATGGAATTAATGTAGGAGCCTCATATCTAATAACTTAGGAATTGCAATATTGTCGTCCACTCGGTCAAAAGCTATACTGAAGTGCGTAATTGTTAATCGTATGAGAGGCCCACCTGTTTATCGGCACGTTTAATGATATTGTTAACAAGCTTTATATATTTATTTCGATAATAAGAAAAATACTTACTGTATATACCTTTATTAAATGTTAATAAAATAAATTAAAAATCCTGTTATCAAAGATAATCGCTTAAATATTGTTTACATCTATACATTTTTACTAATAAACCTTTGCACATACATACCAACTGAAATACATATTTATCCTATGAATTTTATAAATTGGTTATGATTACTTTTGTTTCAGGCATGCTTAATAAGCCTCATTAGGCCGACCAGCCCTCCATAACGTTAGAATACCGCACTTTCGGCGGTAAAGAACTATTAAAACCTCATAAAAAAAGGCAACTAATCCGTTTACCTATAATTGAATCCAAGGACACCTGTGTTTAAACACTCAGTACTTATCCTTGATAATGTGTTAATCCAATTAATATAGTGAGATAACGTAACGTTAGTTTATCGAGGGCGGATTGAGCTAATGTACTGAGTCGTCTTTTTCAAAATTTATTTTACACAACAACATTAAAAGATAAATTGAACACCATTGGTATTCAAGGTAAATATACCAAAGCACATTTCGCTATCAATTAATTTTCACATGACCCTGACCAATGTACGCGATAACCAGGTGTTTGTACTTCACAGATTCCAGACTTCGTAATGAAATACAAATTACTTACATGAATATTCAGTAATACAACAAATGCAGATTCACTGAACATTGTACCTCTACAGTAAGGTCTTCACTTAGGCATACATATACTGGTATATACTCATGTATGGAATGTGCTGTCGCAAGAAATAAAATAATCAACTTATAATTTGAACTTCAAAATAATTGTCAAAATATCATTTATAATTATATTCATTGTATATTATGGCCTATTTATATTCATTATAAACATCATTTAAAAATAATATTACATATAATTTGATTAATTCTAAAAATCTATACATTTCATTACAATATTATTGATCGTTACGTTACATATACCCCTTTAAGTTATAATTGTACTTTAAAGTGAATGTTAATTCAAGTAAAATCAATGTTTGAATGTACAGTACATTTGATTCTTTGTTTAGTTATTTAATGGTTTTAAAAATACTAATGATATTATTTTTTGATACATAGGTTCTGACAGGGTCTTTCATTATAAGTCAGTGTATTTATGAAGTTATGTCCCAATTGGTTACGGTATATTTTATAATTGCATGCTTATAGTCATAAATTCATAGTACAGTATATCAATAATTAAATATTTAAATTTTTAACAAGCACATATGTCAAAGTGAATATTTAGTAACTCTCCTTTCATTGAATGTATTTGAACTAAGTAAAATCCACAGAAATGCATTGGCGTGGTACAGGCTTAGGCCCATACTCATAAGTTTTAGTGGGTGGGCCAATTTTCTTGTATGCCCCATCAATAATTTGCAAAAAGTGTTTGAATATTGAATATATCAACGATACAACAGGTCACTGCAACTTTGGGCATGGATCACATGTTGGCTTTTGGTTACCTCATTGTGGTTGTCCATTTTGATTGGACTGGTAAGATTACATTATAAAAAAGGCTCGCAAAATGTAAAAACTGCTTATTTTTCGAGGGCATTAGAGCCCTGGACCCCAACCGAGGCCCTCGCTCCGCTCGCAACTGCTTACCGGGCCCACACAACTTTCAAACCGTGCAGACAATGGACACATACAAACGACAGTGAGACATTATGAAAGCGCCCATATTACTCCCTGAAGTGTTTTACTTGTTTCCCGATAGAAAGGGTGACCTTCGCCGTGGGTGATTTTCAATGCCGCAAGTGCCTGTACAAACACAAAATAGAATTGAATTAAATTTTCGATATTTTTAACTACTATTAAGTACTGTAATATAAAAGAAACACATACTTAATTTTATGTTAATGTTCATGCATGACCTGCCATACATATATAATTTCACTGGAAACATGCTCACAGTTACATTGATGCCATACGCTTTCGTATCGATCATGTGGTTTTCTGAGTGTATATAGCTAATTTTAAAAAATGTAAAAGTCCCCTGAATTAATATAATATTAAATTTAGCTTCCTCAATTTGCTATAACATATACATGTTTATAACTTAAGCACAGACATTATTGAATTTAAAAATATGCACCGTGATTTTTTTCATACTCGTTAATAATAAAAATAATAAAAACACTTGTGACTGAAATAATTTTCACTGTAAAATTATGGATAAACATTTTTTAAATAGAATAATTTCTATGTTAAAGTTCACACTTTTAATGTTAATTCAAAATGAGCAAGTTAATTTATGACATATTTTGTATTTTTGCGCTAATACATCTTTAAGTTTAAACCTTACAGTCTTGGTTTTTAACAAACCTGAATGAGGCGTTTACGAGCTTCCTCAAACCTTAAAACTTGCATATAGACAACGGCCAGTCTTTTACAATGTATTCCAATTAAAGGTTGATAAGGAGGATATAAACTTCTGAAAAAATATCAAAGTAATAATTAAAGATGGACATCAGTATAATATGAAGACTTTTTAAGAAGTTACTAGAATAAAAATACTGTAATAATAATAACAACAATATTAATAATAATGTCGATGATGATAGTATTTAGTTTGCTATGGAAGCAATAAAGATCGGAAACGTTGGGGCAGTCATAGAAGGAATGTGGGAAACAATGTGATTGCTTGTTGAGAATAGTAACAAGCAATAAATAGCCCGAACTTACTCGTAAGTCAATATAACTTCTTCAAGCATAGGAATACCATCTTTGAAGTTGTTCATATTCATTAAAATATGGCCCACTCTGTCGAAGGTTTTAGCACGGAGATAATGCAGTCGATGTAGAAAGCATTTTTGTCTTCTGCTCAGGTCTAAAGCATATGCAGATTGTCTATCACGTTTAAAAATTAAGGAGATAAACTACAATTAGTAAATACTGTAGTCAGAGGGAAGGGAATCAGAGAGGAAAGACCTGGTCCCCTTCGAGTCGTGTGACGACACGAAGGGGTCATCAAAACAAAAATATTAATTTACCTTTCTAAATAACGTTATCTTGATTGCTAATTTTGAATCTTACTAATCCATAAAAACTCTCACAATTATGAACCCTACCAAGAAGTTTTTCTGAGGCCCTTGTTTTGGGCCCCATATCCAACTTGTTAGAGCCCCATTGGAAAAGTTCTGGAGCCACCACTCTCAGTAAAAGATAGTAGCTAATCATCAACTAATTAAAGATTAAACCATTTCACCATTTATAGGCGCTATATTTGGTGGCGCTACGGGCTCCACAAAGTAGTTTCCTAGGCTATCAATAATTGTGAGATAGATGTTATTATTTATAACATTCTATACTTTATTCATTATACCCCTGGCTCGCTTAAATCAACCCAAAGAGAACGCATTGAACTCACCGACAATTAACTGAGCAAGAGCAAATATGCCTACATCATTGTTCCTGTATTCCTCACAAGTTTTATTTTTAGTTGGTAGAACTAAACCAAGGTAGGTGTGGAAACGGAGTCGAAAAAAAGCATTAGGAGTTAAAGATGCACTGTCAGCCATGAACTAAGAAAATTAGAAAAATCAAATTCCACATTTGAATTGTATCATTTGTATGTGAATTTTAATACAATCCCAAGTCAATTTCCTTTTTTTTTTGTATACTTTTGATCAGACCCTTAAATTGACAGTTACCGTACTCGCGTGAATATAAGCGCCCGGGCGCTTAAAATATTTTTTTGCACTTTTTGAGGGGCGCTTATTCAAACGGGGCGCTTATGAAAGCAGAGTGGAAATTGTGGGGGCGCTTATGGAAATAGATGAAAATCGAGGGTTCTTATGGGAACTTATTAAATTCAAGAGGCACTTTTTGAGTGAAAAAAAAAATTATACAAAGACATTACGAATGGTGGTGCGGCGGAAAAGATAATCGTCCAGAGAACATGGCTCATAAGAATGCTCTGAATATTTACATAAACAGCAGAATAACAGATGCAATTAATGGTGGTGGGTAGTGGTTAGCTTGTTGGCCATCGGAAAAAGAAAAAGAGGAGTAGGACTAGGCCAAGACACATTTATAAGAAGAGGACAGTTGGAAATATACTGTTTGTTCAGGGCTCGAACTCTCATTTGTCCAAGAGAATATCCTCATTTTGATATTGACCTAAGAAGAATGTGATTCCACTCTGCAGCTCAAATCATGCCAACAACCATAGTCCCAGGATTGATTGGATTATAGACTTGCTAAAAAGAAATACTTATGATATTAGAGGCCGCGCTTATTCAAACGGGACGCTTATTCGCACTAGTACGGTACGTAGAACTACTAATTTTTTTTCTGTATGTATACACACATATTTACTGTAATAAGAAAGAATGAGAACTTAAAAACAATAAAAGACATCAAATTCAAACGTACAAAAAAAAACATATTCAAGGGCGTGATGATAAATATATTCTCAAAGGATATTGATTGGCTGCAATTTTATTGTTTCTTCCACAAAGATAATGCTCTCAGTCTCAATAGCCAATATAGCAGACACATGTTTTTGAGACGGCAACTGATCACAAACACTGCATTTCATAAATGTCATATCTGAGGGGAAATAGATATTGTGTGTTAGTACTAGCATGAATTATAAAATATAAATTATTCATATTTTATAATTCATATTTTATAATTATAAAATATGAATTATGAATTATTCAGTATCCAGCATAGTCGTTAACATTAGTTATCTATTAATTAGGCGTACGTTGTAAAACATTGTTTAATAGTACATTAGGCCTATCATTATTGTTAGTCTGAATAGTAGTATGACTGTATTACTGTGGTTCATAAATCGGGTAGTAATACAGCCCCATCAGTAACACCAACATGCAGCATTGGTAGCAGTGTTACGTGGTAAAGTATTACAGTACTTACATTGTTTCCTAAGTACCTGACCTTTACATTTCTCACAGACGATGCTTTGCATTTTTGCATCAAGTTCCTTATTCTCACAACGAGGGCATGTGCAATTAAAACCATATTTCTCTTGTAGCATTTTTCGTCGGATATTACTAGGTTGCAACGGACTTACGTATGATATGGTAAGCTGTTAAACAAAATTATAGACTTAAGTAAGCTTGAAAACTAATACCTGTATTTTTACAGAAATATTGGAGATCGTCTACACATCAAGGATTTAATCTTCCAAAATAGGTTACAAATAGAGCCAAAGAAAGGGGTGGCTCAGAACACTAGGGTATGTGAAAGATACAGCGTGAACTAAATATGCCATGTTTCTTTGTAATCGCATAAACTAAATAACCCCAAAAATTTGAATTAATTTAAAATATATATATTCTTGTCGCAGTAGGTTGTATAAAGCGGAAGTTGACGAAATGACAATTATTATTAAAAAGCCCCTAAACTTTAATGAATATGCTTCATAATAATATATGACAATGATCCTACACCATTTTGTATTTGGTCTAACGTTGGCGAAATTATTATGCATAAATATACAGATATTCGACTTACCTCCTGTCCTTTGATGATCGGTCTTGTTGCTCGTACACTGAGTGTGGTGCCATCATATACCGTAATTGAATTGAAATCACAACTATTGTTGATTAAAGATGCTCTGAACAAATAAAGTAGAGAAGCATTAGTGACCCTTATTATATGTTGTAGCAAATACTATGTTACAAGCACCTGTATGAATTACACCAAAAAGTTTGGAAATGAAATGTTAACACTGAACAGTTTACATAGGTATGAATCCACATCTAACATGGTATGAATCAACATCTCTACTCTTACTCACCCGCCTCCAATCATCGCTGTTTGTATAATAGAGTATAACTAACAACTGAAAAATCTTCTTTACATCTTAAAGTAGGCCTATATAGTAACGTAAAGCCACATATTTCAATTCAACAATTATAAACAAGTTATTCGTATATACGCACTTGAGATAGATTCCCGGTCCAAGAGCATCTGTGTTTGGGCCAGCGATAAACAATGCGTTGCAGTATACTCGACTGGCAAGCTGATTGAATTCTTGTTTTATTATTTTCTTTCCAAGAAATAATTCCAACTGCCTACGTTCAAATTCCAAACGTACTTTCTGTTGTTCATTCCAAAGTTCATAAACTTAAAACGCAATAATAAAATATGAGTGCTATGATTAAGTAGAATATATATTAAAATAATTAAGAGTGGTTTTGCATTAGATAAAGAAATATACTTCGATCACTAAACTAAAGCATTTTTATGATTTTAAATTGTGGTTTTTCTCCTTGATAGGAGGGGGAAGCTCTTCCCGACGGGACCCTGGGACCCGGCTCCCCACTGGCGCCACCCCTGTGGCATTCAAATTTATTCGGCTTCACATAAAAAAACAATTCAATATACAAAATGCGGTAGATACAGTTAAAACATCTTTAAAAAGGGACAGATGCCAGGATAGCCAATGAAAGTCTCTAAAAGAAAAACTTATTTCCAATAGGGTCCAGGTACTGTATTAGGCCTACTCCATCATATATGCATTGTATTTGCATTACGAATTATTGATAAAATTTAGTTAAATATAGATCAACTGAAAAAAAAAATGTCCTCATTGTTGACTACTAAGGTCAATTTCACATTTTTAGTTCCCCTCCCCACCCTTAATATGGGTACCCTAATCAGGGGGCATCCATATTAAGGTGACACTTTTTTGGTCCTGATGGTGTCCCCTTATATTAGTGGTTCTACTGTAATTTTATTTATATTGTCAACAGATGGGTGTGTTCTAGCTGGGATATGCACTTTCCTGCATTCTCAGATGTTAGCCTATGGCCATGGTGATTAAGGGAATGATGATGACATAGGCAGTGGAATAGTTGTATTAGGCCTACTCCATCATAAATGTATTGTATTTGCATTGCGAAATATTGATATAATTTAGTTAAATATAGATCAACTGAAATAAAAAAATATGTCCTCATTGTTGACTAATAAGGTCAATTTCACATTTGAGTGATGGAAAGACTAATGACATCATAATAAGAACACAACAAATTCCTCAATTTTTTTTTATTACAAACTTTTAATAACAGAATTGTTTTATGGCATAACATCATAATTCGCTCTTCCAATTTATACAGCTCATGTCCAAAATGTTCAGACACATACCGTTACTTGACAGAGGGTTAAAAGGTTCTGTTGTTGTCGAGGCAAAAAGAAAAAAACAATTTTTTGTGAGACCATTTGAGATACTCTACTTCTTAGGACAAAATTATGTTAAATTATGCTAAATTGGAGAAAATTAAGCCAGCACATATGCTAGATGCTAAACGGGTTTAAATTATTCCAAAAAGCATAATTATGCTAGGTCTGGTCACTGTGGGCCAGAATTTTTCATAGATGGAAAAGGCACATTCAAATGAGGGCGTGATCTGTTCTCGTATATTCATTACCGGTACGCGATTTTTTTTTCCCGTACGAAACATTTGTATGAAACTTCACTCGGGCCATAGTCGAGATTGCTTCCACGATCTCAATGAATTATTTATCATGAGGTTTATCCTTGATATGGGATCCCAGACGAAAACTTCACTTTTCCCCCGATGGATGAAAATCCCTGTCTCTTATACACATCTAGATGTGTATAAGAGACAGCAATGAAGCAGATCTGACATGAATTCCTAAGCATCTCCAAGCTCTTCTAGTTCTGTAAGTTCATTATGACCGATAATGAGACTTAAAATATTATTTTTTATTATTTCAAAGATTTATTTTCTCTATTAACTTTAGGCCTATTGCTGTTATAAGATGTAAGTATATTTGTTGATCCAGGTCGGTGATCATACAGTATCTGGTTTTGTCTAAAATATTGTGGATATTTAGTCTTTCTAAACGTTTGGATATCTTTCAGAAAAAAATGATAGATTGATCGAAATATAAAAGCCGACAGACAAAACGGCGCGGCAGACATGATCGAATATTAAGTAGCTATACTTCACTTACTCTCTATTAGATGGTTAATACTTTGCGGAAATCCATCAGTCTTTTCTGGCTGTCTACCTTCTTTCTAATATGTAAATAAAACAGAAATTAGTCAAGATTGCAGGGAATAATAATAATAATAATGACAATATGATGATGATAATGATGATGATGATGATGATAATAATAATAATAATAATAATAATAATAATAATAATAATAATAATAATAATAATAATAATAATAACAATAACAGCACTCCACAGAGAGCATATCTCCGCCCACCGCAAATGCCTTTCTATAAAATAAATCTGCCAAAATATGCGACTAATTTACTTCAAGCACCACCACTAACACCCCCGGCACTGCACTTCACATGTTACGTTTTGAACAAACGGTGGCGGAACGTTTTTGAAAGTGGGTGGGGGCCATTTCAGAAGGTCCAGTATGCGAGCGAAGCGAGCATCTAGGCTGGGGGCCAGGGGGCGCCAAGGGCGCCCGGTTGGGTTTAGGGGGCGAAGCCCCCTAGAAGCTACGGATATTTTACGAAGTTTGGTACTGAATTTTATAAGTTATTTTTTAGTCATCAAGCTATTGTAATATGACTTCATATTGTTGTAATTTCCAGTGGCGGATCCAGGAATTCGAAATAGAAGGGACCAGGGAGGGTACTTTCACAGATAGAAGATCTATACTACCTCAGCCCACAATGGTTAGGGCTGAATTAAGAAAATTTGTGATTATGGCACATCTAGATGGCCGGAAATTGCACTTCCAGAAATAATTTGAATATAATTATTTTTATATCTCCATTAAAAAAAACCAAAAAAACAATTGAGTCTCCCGCTCCCCCCGCCCTTGAATGCGCCACAGATTTCCGCACAAAGTCAAAGTCGAGATTGCTTCCACGATCTCAATGTATTATTATTATTTTTTGAACAATTTAGGGGGTGGGGCGGGCCGGCTGGGTCCCCTTGAATTCGCCACTTGGTACTTTAACAGATTGAGGATCTATACCACCTCAGCCCCACCATGGTTGGGGCTTAGGTAGGAAAATTGTGATTATGGCACCTCCAGATGGCGGGAAATTACACTCTCAGACTTCAAATGAATGTAATTTTCCTTATAACTCCAAAGAGACAGCCCCCCCCCCACTCCAGCCCTCCCCGCCCTTGAATTCGCCAAAAATTTCCGCACAAGGTCGAAGTCGAGATTGCTTCCACGATCTCAATGAATTATTTATCATGAGGTTTATCCTTGATATGGGATCCCAGACGAAAACTTCACTTTTCCCCCGATGGATGAAAATCCCTTCTATGTAGCCCAGAAATGATACGCCAACTGTAGCGGATCCAGGAAGTCGAAATAGAGAGGTTCCAGGGAGGGTCTTGCGCAAATAGAATGTCCACCCACCTCAGCCCCACAACTGTTGGGGCTGAGGTAAGAAAAATTATGATTATGGCACCTCCAGATGGCCGGAAATGGCACCCTCAGATTAAAAGTTGAATACAATTTTGTCTGTTTTCTCCATTTTTTAAAAATAATTTTGAAAAAATTAGGAGGTTGCGGCCCGTGGTGACTGGGTTCCCCTTGAATCTGCCACTTTTCAATATCAAACTTGACATAGCCTATCATTTTGTATCACAAATGATTAATTCCTAATGTCAAACGAAAGATTTTTTTATTCCAAGGATTTGTTTTTACTCAATAAAGTTTTTACAACCTATAACACATTAACTACAGTTTACTGTAAATTTTGTAGTTAACCTTCAGATAAACCTATTTTAAAAAATGGCCAAATTAATTATCTTATTGTTTTCGTTAAATTAGATGAAGTTTAAATGTGGTTATATTCCGCTAGTTTGAAGGTTTACTGTAAGCTAATCAGTTACAATTACTATGCATCTTCGTGGTTAGCATAACGTGAACTAGAGCGTCGCTCCATTAAGAGTGCCTACCTCCCCCATATGCCTAAATACAGAATTCACGAAGGCAGGCGATTTTTTCTTAATGCTTGAGGGTGGGGTTCAAGGAAACTTTACAGACGCGCTCACTCAAAAAGGGAACTTGTAATGCTCGTTAGAAAATGATAACAAAATCTATATTTTATAATTATGATACTAGGTCAATTTATAAGATGCAAATAAACAAGGTGTCTAAGCACCAAATAATAATAATAATAATAATAAAAATAATAAAGTAATAATAATAATAATAAAATAATGATG